TAGAAAAATATAGAGACGTAGCGCAACGGGTGGGCGATAGCTTTCAGAGAGTTTCCCACAATAAAGGGCACACGTGAGCTCGTTGCAGGGTGTAGAGTGAAGCTTTTTTTACAGGGTATCCCTTACACGTCAGAACGACTCTCGTCAACGTCTAGTATTGCTTTGCACGGAGGATTAAACCGTCAAGCTCGCCAATGCTCGACTTGCAACAGACACGGTTCATCAGATTTTCAATGTTATTTCCCCTTTACTTTAATCCTTTTAATCTTCCAACCGGAATTAAAGTTTATCCTAGTCGAATTTTTATTGGACTAAGAAACTCTGAAAATTAACACGCAGAACCTTTTAAATCAAAATTTTCAATTGTTTCTTTGTATAGAAAAAAGAAAGAAATCAGCCTTTGATAAGATCTTCCATAAGTAACCCTATGTGATTCTTCCTACAACGCGCATCGAAACGATTTTATCACGAGCCAAGGAGCACGGAAGAATGATCGAAAAATGGTACAAGGGCATCGAGAAGAGAAGACAATCGTGACCCACGGCACAATCCCCCGTGCCGAATTTCAAAGACTCTTTCGCGCAAGTGGAGACTCGAAAAATCTGACGTGTCCCGAATCTCGCTTAATTAATAGCCTTATAGGGCAGGCTTGCCCCGAAGGGCCCTCTCCGCGTAGCTCGCAGGACTGGTCGGCAAAGGGGCACGTGCTGGCCACGTGTCGGTAAGAGGATATCCGTCGGTGCTACCCTAAGCAACCGCCTTCAAGGGAGAAGGACGGAAAACGAGGGGCACTGGCATCGTTGCCGTTGGGTCTCAGGTGCCTTGGCTTCTTCATTTCTCCCTGCGTTCTCTCCGCCAACGTGTAATCCTGAACGGAGAGAGAATGAGAAAGAGAAAGGGCCGAAAATAAAAGAAGAGAAAGAGCTCGTGTCGTTGCCGCTTCGACGACCGCGAACATCTCGCGTGTATGCATTTGCTGCTGTGAATTTTTGGCCAAATTTCCACGATTTTGAACGAAGTCTCATTAAAAAGGGGAAGCAAAAGGCACGAAACATTATAAAATCCATTAAATTTCAGGGATTATGGCAAGCTATACGATGTAGCGGGGATAGCAAATGCTCGAATTTGTTGAATGGCCAACATCTGGAAAATGTTCATTCCACAAAGGAATCACCACTTTTCGTTTTCCATCCAAGACTGACCACTCGGAGAATCAACGAAATCCTGTAATCCCCACGGTGACCATTGATCAGCGCGTGTTTCCTAACCTCCTCTGTCCAGTGGAACGACACGGATTTCCGGCTGGCACAATGAAGAAACATTTTCCAGCAGAGCCTGGGACCGAGAACGAAGGAACAGGCCCCTTCATTGTAAGCTCGTTGTCGATCGTACGCCTGTAACCAGCCCGTTTTGCTCATTCATGTTGGACGCGTGCTTGTGGGCGAGACACGACCCCCGACAATGCGTACAACGAGCACGGGGTGGATCGTTTAGGGGTTTGCACCCCTGCAGCTTTGTGAAAAACGACCGCCTCCGATCGAAAATTGCCGCATTTCGTAGCTCCTCTACTCCCTTTCTCGCTCTTTTGTTTACGATCTCTCTGTCAGAACTCACCCTCGGACAACCCTCTGTCCGTTTTCTTTTCGACCAGTTTCATGCTGGGATCGTTGGTCTCGTTAGCAAGATGTTAAGTCTCGTTTTCACGTTTCGACTTTGATTCCGTTGTTATAGTAAGTTTCGTGAAGTAGATTCTGTTGTTTCGAAAATGAAATCTGTTAAATCAAATTCTATTCCAACAAAAATTATAACATATCTATAATAATCGCGTAATTTTTGCGAACAATATTTCCACGCATCTCTGAAAAGCGGGAAAATTATTTCAAGCGTGCAAAATGACTATCCCATCCACCCTCTTGAAAACAAGCGCGCGTACAAAATCACTTTTCCAACAGCCACGTTTCAGCCACGCCACAATACGCTTGTTTGCCATTCCAGCACGTTTAAATTTCCAAACTGAAGGGTTTCAATCCGGCTGGCAAGTTTTTCCTCGGTCTTTGGCTCGTTTTCCCGAAGAAAAGGAAATGACGACGCGGCAGAAAGAAAACGGAAAGAGAGCCGCGTGTGTACTGAATCGCGAGCCAACTCGAATAATTCCGGGACAAAGGGGTTGGAAAAACGCTTTTCTATTTCGTTCGCGTGCCGACGTTGCACGAGGTTTTGAACAGGAATGCAGTTTCCTGTGAGCACGAGGAAACTTGTGACTCGGTGTTCGTTTCGAGCACCGTTTAATTTCATCTACCACCACCTTCCCTTCGCCAACCCTTCTATTCTCCTCTCCCGTTTCTTCGCCGTGCTCGAGCGCTGCCTTTACTGGAAACAGAAGTCGCGAACGGATTTTCACGGCGAAATTGTTACGCTCCTCCCACCATTATGCTACTCGACAAGCTTTGATGTTCGAGCTGAATGATTCGATGAAAATCGCGACTCACAGTCCGTGAATTCAGAGAGCGGCTCAAATGTTGGTCAAGGTTTGTTGCTGCTTTTTTTTATTTATATTTGTTTAACAGCTGTACAGAGTAAGATAAGTGTAACGTTGTTTTTCGCTTTGATATTTGACTCGTGAAATTTTGTTCCAGCCGTTATACTCTTGTTAACACGTTTACCTACTTTTTTGTGGAATACAAATTGGATTTAACCGTTACATAATTATAAAGGGTCTTGGAAGTAATTTCGTAAAATTATAACGCGCATTTATTATTGATCTAAAATCATCTATCCAGCGCGATGGGAAAGTTGTTCGGTTAACTCTTCAAATACTTTGTCCACACATATTTAAATATCTCTAAGAAAATTTCAAGTTTAAGCTCTCAAATTTCACAGAGAGCAAACAATGTGTTAGAAGAATTCCACAACTCGATAGCACGTTATTAAAAACATCTCCAACCAAGTTATTATTATTGAAAACCTTGTATAGCCTTTGTTATCCCTTCGAATCGTTACAATATTCGTTGTTCAACGAAAAATATCAGTGACACCATTACCGCTCCACGGTGATCGGTCAATTTATTCTCAAACGAGACAAATAGATCGGCAGGGGACACTGAGAACGCGTTCTAACGCTCCTGCAACGTATTGTGTACCTATCAATGAACGAAACACAAATTTTAACAGTTCATCCGGTTACGTTGATCCCGTAGGTATAAGCGGTTTCACGGAACAACCCCAGAGACGCAAGGTTCCGTGTTTCTATGGGGCTTTTCACGGGGTCTCGACGAGTCCCACTCTCATGGGGGGTTCTCAACGGGCGGGGCCCCATTCTCCATAGGGCGCCGATATTCATTGTACCGTCACTGCGTGTTTAATACTCACACGTCAAGTTAACAGCATCCCTCCCTGTCGTATCACTCTTTTTCTTTTTTTCCCTTTCCATACTGTTTCGACGATCTCTTTCCCCATCATCGAGTCTTCTTTGTGATTTTCTCAGAGACCAATCATCCATTCGAAGAAGGGTTAAAGAAGGAAATAACGTAGGAAAATTTGCGATACACTGTAGTCAATTTCCAATTCGAGAGGGAAAAAATATTCGAAAAAGGTTAAACGAAATAGAAACTCGACTAATCCTTCGATTCGATCGAGTAACAAAAGAACGCACGATCTCTGGCCGTCGTGGACACCAGAGCGAGACAATGGTATTGTGTAACAGCAAGAAGAAAATCCCGACCAAAAAGTTCTGAGCTCGGACAGAAAGGCCGAGCGAACAATGTCGTGTACAAAGGCATCGGCTTGGCACGGGGCAAAAAGATGAAGGCCGCCACTGTTCCACCGAATCGACTTTCCAGAGAGTGAAATAAAAAGGCCCAGGGCCCGTTGGAGACCGCAGAAAGCGTGGCCGGATGCAACTGACCGCTTCGCTGACTTCTGGATTCTCCTTGGGGCTATCGTTCACCACGCGATTTTTATCGACAAATCGAACCTCTTTTTCCCTTCCGCACCTTTCCTTACTACCGTTGACAGCGCAACCCTTTCGACATTTTCGTGATGAGAAGGTTCCTCGCTAAACGACGGACCCACGGCATTTGCGTGACGAAAGGCACAACGCCTCCGTGCAAATTGGTTGTTCATGCAAATGCCAGATGGTTAAGTAGCTTGATTTTTTCCCTCCGTTGAAATATGCACGTAATAAGGGTAATGACCGGGTACGAACATATTCTGTCAATTTGACGCAACAATACATGGTTAGACCGTTTAGCACGTTTTTTTTTGGTGTCCTGTCATTTTGCGGTTGATCGATTTGCTGTTAAGAGACATTATAATTGGTATCATATTTCCTTAAGTGAATTCTGTTACATTTCCGCTGGTGGATTAAATAGGTTAGTCGAGTTATCTGGATTACAAAATGTAGATCATTGGGTTAGATGGATTATCTATCTGGTATTTAAAACAATCCGACTTTCTTGCCTGTCGAGATTCTGATTAAACCTTAATCAACGCATTTCAATTTACTCGATCTTGCCACCGCCTCCCATACACCGTATGTCTTATGCGGTAGGTGAGCGATGTCATCTGAGGGTTGACACGCGTACGATAAGGGTTAACATAGAACAAGGTGTTATGATACAGTTGGTTTCTCGATGACGCGTAAAAAAAACGCGCGTGCACCTCGAATCACCTACTGCAGGACGATCGGTGACTGCCTACGCCAGTGTGCACCGCAGAGGAGCCGCTGTTCGCTGGTGCAGACGGGTTCCTTGGAGCAGCAGCGTGGAGCACGCAAGTAGTCACGGTATCCAGACAAGGCACGGCGAGACAGATTACACGAGCCAGAGAAGGAGAGACAGCGTCGGGTTCCGTACATGGGCGGTGCCTGTTGTTCTTCGGTGGAACTAGGAGGGGGTGTCGGTGGGCCGTCCTACGAGGAACCGTGTCCGCCCCACCTTGTGACGCCAGGTTTTCACGGTTCCACCGCGACGCGGCGCTGTCTCTGGTTGGAACCAGTTGCAGCTGTGCCGGTTCCCTCACTCCGCATCGCGGCTTCGGCTCGGCAGACGGGCCTGTATTTACTGTGGCGCACCGTGGTCGCGCGTACCTCGTTTTCTAGCGTCGGGTCGGATCGGGTCTCGTCGAGTTCTCCGTCACACGGGGCACATGCGCCATGAAACGGGCCTGATGCGCGTCCGGTCGTTCTTTACGAAGCGGTACGAACTGAGATCGATCCTCGTGTTCTGTCGCTACTCCAAGGACAGACACCTCAACAGTGCTATTTGAGTGCAGGTGCGCGGACTAGCCGGGTGTTGCTTGTTCCGATCGTCCGACTACCTTAGAGTGCATGGTGATAGCAGTTCCAACCGGCTCCGACGATGGGACCAGGAATTTCGCGACTGGATTCTGTATCCCGGACTGTGCCCGATCCATTTCGATGAACCCTGTCCGTTCTGTCAGTGATTGTGCAGTGAGGGGTGTACTTTGTTTCGGAGCAGCGTGACATTGACAGGGGTTTCGGTACCGTTCCACGCAGGGAGGAAGTAACTTGGAGCCTTTGGAGTGGCTGTTTCTTTTTTTTTTTTTCTTTTAGCGTAATGTGCCCGCGAGGGCGCCGGTCACCCTGGTGCCGGACAACGATCGCTATTACCGGTATCCTCGCGACAGAGTAGACCGAGGGAAAAAAGGTAGACGGGAAAGGGAGTTGCTAGTGACGTTGTTGAGTGCGGAAAAGTTGTCGGGTCGAGGAGACTGCGAGAGAGGGTCGAGCGAGCCGCTTAGTGGTGGAGCAGGAAGAAGAGGAGGCAGAAGAAGAGAACCTGCGCAGCGGACGCCATCTCCGCGTTATCGGCAAGCGGATCCCCCGGGACTCCCCCCCAAGCAGCTTCGGCGTCGCGCACCCTCGGCGGGAACTACCCCGCGACAGCAGCCACCCTGATGGGAGTGTATGAGGAGCGCGCCCCTCCTACTACCGGCATGCACTGGGTGAGTGTCATCCCTCTGTTCTCTGTTCTTTGCTCATTGGCCGTGTACCCACGACGAACCGTCCAACAGCCCTACGTCCCTTTGTGATGTCCTCGATGATCCGTGGATGATGATCCTTGCCCGACCCCTTTCATCTTCTCCGCGTCTCTACTCTCGCCACCTGACACTCTTCCATTTCAAGGGGGCTTCTTTTTCAGAATGTCGCAAAGTAACGAAAGGCGGGGTCATTTCGACCGTCTCCGCTGCCTTCATTCTTACAATTAGAGTTATCGACGTTTCTGACGTAAGGGTTCCTCCACGCGATACGTTGCGATCCTTGCCGAACACTTTGATCTCTTTGCTCCTTTGTATTCTCACGATGAGACACTTTCGTTTGGAGTAGACTTCTTCTTTCTTAGAATGCCTCAAGGTAACGAAGGATAGGGTCACTTGAATGACCTTATCGACATCTCTGACGACAATGTAAGGGATCCTCGAGTAATATTTCACGAGGTAGATCTGAATTTATCAATGGACTACATTTCAAATTGAAAATTAATTTCGACGCGTAGTCGGATTATAACTGTTAACGGAAACAAATTCCGATTAGATTATACGATTATTTTATTGCTCGTGATACTTTAATTGGGATATTGCTAGCCGCGACCGGTCTCTACGACTGCGACTCTTATCAGCGTCGTAACGCCCGGCTGATATATTCTCGCCGGCACGATTGAAACGAGTTCCTCGATCGCGAACCGCGGGGCGATAGAAAAAGGGCTTGTTGATGACAGGCTGCGTGCGAACGGGGTGTACGATTTGATGAATCGCTGTGAAGTTGGTAAACTTTTGAATATTGTTATTTTTGGTGTAATGGACTGCGACACGCGAGGGTTCGTTTCACCCCCGGAGAGTGTATTTTCAATCGTTTCTTGCATTGCTCCCCGTCGCGACGATTCTTATGTTGATTCAAAATGAGTCCAGTTAAAGTTAAAAGCAAGAATAAAAATTAAAATTCATACTGTCCGCCATGCTCAGATACCTATTAAAATTATTATCTACTCCGTAAATAAAAAGCCGTGGCAGTGATGCTTAAAAGAGAAAACAAAGACGCGATTTATAAACAAAAATACAGAGAATTTATCTGAATTAACAATAGTGAAGCTGTTACTTCCTCAAGGAGATATCTTGTAGAATGAAACGATGGAACGTGCTTTCGCGATTTTCAGTGGCTACGTTCGTTTCCATTCCGCGAGCGTTTCGAGCGTCGTCGAGCAATGTACGATCACCGAGCGCGGCGTTCATCTTCGAGGAATGTTAATTTCGTTTTAAACGACCGTTCAATGGTCGCGCCGTTAACGGGTACACCTTGTAAACAAACGTAATTGATTGTTCCGTGTCACCGCGTCGGCCGCTAATTGAACCGATGCATTAACTACGGCTACATGCAAACGCACGGTGCTCCGTTTCAAGGCTGCTTTTCACGCGATCTCGTATGAAATTGAACCCGCCCTGTTGAATTTTTAAACCAGAATTTCAACGACCGTCATCATTTTCTTTTCTTCCAATGAAGAATCGATTATTTCAATATCAATTAGCATTTTATGAGAAACAAATTTATTCTCGATACGGTGATATTATAAATATTTAAATGATCAGTGATATTGGATACTAAAAAATGTAACCTGTACTTAATTCTATGTAATTAAGTAATTCAAGCGATCATATTCGATCATTTCGGTTATTAATATCTCTTGAAACATGTGAAAGTATCAATTTTTAAATATTTCTTTAAAGTAATTATCTGATTTATAATATCGAGGTCGTGATGCAATATTGCTGGATCGTATTTGTGATACAGTTGAATTATAAGTTCAGTTCTAATTACAATTTGCACGGTCAAGGTTCGTTAAATACAAAGTATGCATATTTCAACTTTCCCTATTTATCTTAACATTGCAGCAGCGGATAATTAGCTCTGACGGACACGGTTGCTAGAAAAATCCTATGGCAAGGGATTCAGGCTGTCCATACAATTTTCGTGAAAAATCACGACGTAAATATTTTGTTTACCGAGGCAATGGTGGCCGATTAAAAGCTGTCGTGTAAAGTCCAGAGGCGCCGTGCGTTCTGTAATCTCTGCTGTTCGGTGCTGGCGCGATTATATTATCGCGTGAAACGGTACGTACCCGACTAGAATGATATTTCGCGGCTTTTTCGAGCGTGTCATCCGAACGGAACCGGCACGGCACCGATTTCCTTGCGCAACTAATTTTTCCCGCCGTCACCGCCTTTGGGCGCGAATAATTCATCTCGCGACGGTGTCTGCACGCCGCCAAACGAAAATAAATAACAATCTCTCAAGATAGTTTTGGGTGAATTACGAGTAGCAAGATTTTTCAGACGTTTCTTTAATCTCTTATCTTTAGAGAGCTTGATAATGACACGATTCACTTATGACAGTTGTAGGAATTTAAAAAAAATATTTAGCTTCTAGTTAGCTAGTTAAAACTTCATAAAATTGAACTTCAAATTCTTCTCGAATCACCATGCGAAGTCTGCTCTTATAATCTACTATTCAACTTTCTCCTATCACCAGCACAATCTACTTAAATTCCTTCCATCCTTCTCCATAGGAATTCAATTTACTGAAACTTTTCTCTGATTACTCTAATTCTCTCTTCTGTCATTTAGTATAATCAACTCGAACCATCATTCCCACTACTCCGTTTGACAGCTTGACGTTTCGCTCGAACCATAACACAGCAAGCTACTCGAATCTGTTGACTATTCAATCACGTTCGATTACCGACGTCGCGGCACGATACGGCGTCGTTTAGTCTCACGACGCTTTTCAATCTTTTTCCATACACACGGCGCGGTGCGGACGCGTGCGTCAGCGTGGAGCCGAGGACTCGGTCGTCCGAAGAGTGTGATTATTGTAACTTCGATGAGATAAGGGCGTCGTGGCACGAACGCGTCTGCCCGTGATAGTGGTCCGTTTGTGCAGAGCGTTATTTATTAGCAGGCCCTGCCAAGATATATCCGCCGTCGCGGCGGTCATCGCGGCCCGAATTGTTTAATACGCGACTGACCGCCTCGCTCTTTGTATTATTTATTGCACCGCGATACTTTCTTCATGGAAAACTGTCCATATTTTAACCTTCGACTGTTCATATTCCGAGCCGACGGTCTGGGTCATAGTTGGTACAGTCACCGTCATTCAAGGTTACCGCGATTATTTGTGAAGCGCACAAGGTGCAACAGAAAGCTCAGTTTCATGAAAAATTAAAAAAGAAAATTGAGTTTTGGATATTAAAATATTCGCTGCTCCGTTTTATCTTTTCTTGGGTAGGGAATATTGAAAATATCCTTCGGTTGCGACACCCTGAGACGTTTATTCATTCTTTCAGCGGGTCCAACGCGTTTCGGACACGATTAATTGCGACGGAATCGCAACGCTGGCAGAGATCTGAATTTTCGCGGAACGCAAAGTGGCCGTCGAAGGAGGGAAACCAATATCTCGGGGTCAGGTCGCGATTCTTGGCCTGCCCGGCATGCGACTGATCTGTGTCTCTGCATCGCCTCGCTTTTTAGCGTTCGAATAATTATTTTCTCGTGGCTGCCGCTTTCCATGTGCTTCTACACTGATTCATTACAGGGAGATGCTCAGCATTTTCCTTTGAAACGTTTCGTTTTATCATCCTCCATTTTCTTCAAACTGCTGATCTTTAGAAATAAATTTGGAGCAATACACGCTACCTTGAACTGTGTAATTAAGATGAATTTTTATTTTAATTTTGTAAAAGATCAAAGGTTTTGCATTTTTATTTAGATTTTGAGGAAAACTGTTTTGGAGTTTGTCCGCAGTGAGAATTATAAGAAGGAAATATTTTCAAATTTATAATCAAATTTCACGTTTATAGTTTATAACATTCCGTAGATATCCCAACTCCGAAATTTGTGAATCACTAAAAATAGAATAATCGCGTTTCGTTCACGCTGCCTTACGGTCTTGCTGGTATTACGGTTGAAGAAAAGGAATCGTACTCTTATTTCAAGATGTGATACGTCGTTAAAAAATAAAACGTAGCAATGATATTATATCAGAACACGATGCGACGTCATTACCTCAAAGTTATTCAATTTGAAGCGTTTTATGGAGAAAAAAGACGGGTTCATCGTGAGGAACGATAAGAAAAATCTCAAGGCAGCTAAGATTATTTTCTTCCAATTGCCCGGAAGTCAAGATTCAAGAAATTCGTCATTTTTTTCCAATTATCAGTTATCTTCTTCTCGTTTCAAAGCAATCGAATCGCTTCCCTTCGCTGCAGCTCGATCCTTTGATGATTATGCAATAATGCACCGGATGTGCAGCAAGGACAACCATGTATTCGTTTCCATAGCCAAGAAATACGTCAATTTCGCCTCGATTCCACCGATTTTTTTCATCAGACTTGTTTGCGAGGTATCAATCAGAAAAATTTGCAATTTTCCTTGAAATCTTGCCGATTCATCGAATTAGCAGCACGTGTGTGGGCTTCGATGACATGCAAAATTGCACTAGGTCCACGAAAATTGTTATTCGTAACGATTGGAGTGTTACGTATAATTGTAACGATCATCGACTAATAAAAATGCAAATTTAAAAATATCAAACAATTTTCTCACTTATGATAATATATTTCAAAGTTTCTTTGCAAAGAAAATCTCGACAGTACTTTTTCAATGATATTTTTACATTTCTTTTTTTCTATCGGATCGTCGCCAAATAATCGAGGTGGCACAGTAGCACTGAAGTAGCCGAGGTTCCAATATTTTGTCGAGCCGGTTGGTAGTAGCCGGTCGTCGCGGAGAAGTGCAGATAGCGAGCAAGTTTATCGGTTCTCTGCGGTGTTAAGCGTCGCCCACGCGTTTTAAGAGAGAAAACCACAGGCTGCAGCCGAGTGGACGAGGCTGTTTATTGTTATCACTATCATGGCTGGCCAAGGGAAGCTGATACGCGGTCAGCATGGGACGCGCGTGTTTATTAGGATCCGAGACTCGTGGACGCTCGATCTCCGCGAATTTCCTGCTCCTTTTTTTTTTTTTTTTTTTTTTTTTTTAATGCAACCGTTCCGAAGACGATAGAAATTTATGGTTATTTACGGTAAAAAGAAGTTTGCGGGAAGTTCAACATTTATATGGATGTGTTCTTTTCGCGAGAGCCCGAGGGTGGAATGAAAAGATCAAAATTGTGTGACTGGTTTTTCATTGATTTATTTTCAAAATTTTTCTCAAATAAATTCACAAAAAATGTAATATTTCTGAACTGATTAAGGTGGTCCAGCCTCTTAAATATCATTATAAAAGACAACTTGTCGTCCATTCCTATAGAAGTCATAAATAAAAAAGAACTCCGCCTTTACATTTCATTTCACCCTAATGCACACACGCTCACGATCAGTTGCGAACGTGTTAAAAATGGTCCTATCTCGACACGACAGCTCCAGTCATCAGCTCTGTACACGAATTTTCTAATCAACAACCGCCGCAATGATGAATCACCGATTGCTTATCAGAGTCCCAAAGTCGCGGCGCGAATCACGCGGTTATCGCTCGCCGCAACGCGTCCACGCGACGAAAATAAAGAAGACAAATGAATGAAAGAAAGAAAAAAGGAGAGAGAAACACACGTAGAGTGAACGATAGAAGGAGATAGTGGAATTCGATGTTCGATATCTCGCAAGAGTTTCGAGCGTTGACGGGTGGTACAATCGGCTAGACCGTCCGTCGAGCGACATTTCTGACGGCATTCTACGAGTTTTCGTGCTGGCATCCCGCGCGACAGGCGGATTCCGCGCTCGTTATTTACCTCGCGTTTCGCGAAAATGAAAAAGGCGGAGTCTTGTGCAAGTTCGCCGCGGTGAAAGTCGGTTTTGCAGTCCGAGCACCGGCCCCCTGGCAGGTCCACTCTCGAGATGGATAAGGATCTCTACCGCGGCTCGACTCGTTGAAGATCGATCGGGGTTTCGTGGGAAATTTATGGGATGCCCGTATCGATCGTCAGGCCACGCTTACGAAACCGCGGAAAAATTCTGGAAATGAACGCTCCTTCTCCTTTGATTAGGATGCTGTACGTTGCTCTTCTTGTTCCTGGAAATAAAGAGAAGAATAGTTTCTCAGGGAAAATTCCGGCTCTCTCCATGGTCCGCCCTCTGAAGGTTAATTTCTTGACCCTTTAACCGTTCACCGGTTAAAAGATAAGGGCTCGTCGATCCATCGTGCAGAAAGTGAACCGTATTTTCATTTATTCTTCTCAGCCTAATGTCATTATTAACCGCCGTGAATCACTGGAACAATGTAAGTTTTTTCCAACGGCAAGGTGCATTTCTTAACACTCCATTGTGGCTAGCGAAGATGTTCCTCGAGTTTGTTCCATGGTCGCCGTTTCTTCTTCGCTTCTCGTTTTTTTTTTCGACGTCGTTCAATGAGATTTCCCAACCTTTCCCTCCCGTATCGAGCATCAACGAAAGAAGAAACTCCAGCCGCGAATGCGAACAAGAGATATTTCTTCGAGTCACGAATGGAAATTGTGCCTCCATTTTTCCATCGGAACGAGCGTTTCTCACGAACGTTTTTGCCACCCTTTCTTTTAGAACGCGAGCGCATGATGCATCTTAAAGTAAATTCTGAACGAGAATCGTACGGGTAAATAGATAAAAACCGTCTGTTGTGATGATTTTCATAATGGTAATTGGAATTCTTTAACAAAAGATAGGTTTAAAGCTTGTGTTAAGTATTTAACACGTTGACCACCGTAGCGAAGATTAATCAGAATACGGATGTTTTATTTTTCCATTAAAGTTTTCCACTTTGCATAATTAACCCTTCTCCAGATTCTGGGGCTACAGCGAACCCGCAAATCTTTAAATTAAGGGCGCTCGAATCCCTGTTATTATACGTAATTACTTGAAAATTTATGTAATCCCAAGATTTTAAACGTTGGAAAGTAAATTCGATGAAATGGTATTTAAAATAATGGCCTCAGGAAATATCTGCATATCCGAATAAGCATTAATATAATATTAACGTTTAACACCAAATAAAAGCGAACGAGATCGTCGTTGTCCACGATATTAATTCACCTGTACACCAATTAGCCGGATTGAGTCAGCTCGTTCAAAAATCACACGTTCGTACGTTGAATCGAGTTCACCACCGCGGGGTGTCTCAGCTAGATACGAGCGGCAAGAAAGTCGCCCAATCAAAGTTCCAATCGAAGCTTAATCAATGATCTTCGAAGGAAACGAGCCACGGTTTCCCGATAGGTTGCACGCCAGGAGCACCGTCGACACACGACGAAACGCGCGTTCTTAGGATTCTTTTCAACGACCCGGTTTATTACATAACAGACAACGGCCGATCGTTCGCGTAACAGTGAAAATCCATCGTAGCAAACAAACAAGAGAGATTCTTTGCAATTTCTATTAGTTTTCCCTCGCGCTAAAGAACTCGACAACCGCCACGTTTACTGTGATATCGATCTCTTTTACGCGGCTCGCGCGCATCATTATCGCTGAATGAATCGAACGATGTCGATGGAATAAATAAAAAAAAAAAAAAAACGCACACTAGATGGTCAGAGAGTTGGTATTTGTGTCGCAACCGAAATGCGAATTTAATGCGAAGATCGTTGTATCGATAAGTTCTTTTTCTGTTTCACACGGTGGAGAACAGCTTGCCACTGCATTACGCGTTATCGATGAATTGCTTAAGCGAATGTATGTACTTAATACTAGGGAAAAGATGGTTCACATGCTAGGGACATTTTTCTGTGACGAATAAAATTTATTTCAAATTGCATCGTCCAAAAATTTCATTCCAATCAGAAGCGCAAGGGTTCCTGAAGTTACAACTACCTTAGGGTAGACTCGGATCAGATTGGGTCGGATTTGGGTCGGGTTTGGTTTCGAGTCCAGTTTGGGGCAGGTTCGGGTTCGGGTCGCGTCATGTCGTGTTGGATTACCGAAATTACGGGTACCTTAGTTTCAGTTCGGCTGGGATCAAATTACATCGGGTTGCGGTAGTTCGAATTCTCGAAATTATGGGTTCCTGAGTTAGGATTCGGGTCGGGCCGTTCAAATTACAGACATCTGAGAAATGATTCGAGTCGGGATTGATTCGAATCGGTTCGTATCAAATGCAGTAAAATCTGGTTAAGTCATGTTACATCTGAGAAGTTTATGACATCAGGGGTGTACAAAATGATGGCTGCCCAAAGCACAACACGACGCAACGCAGGAACAATTAATTCCGGGTTGTACGATGGAATTCAAGTTTAAATTCGTCAGCAGTAACATCACCGTCGAGCGATATTTACGACAATCGGGCAACAGAAAGTTTACCGTCCTTTGGGGCCGATCGCAAACGTGCCGCTTCGGCTAAGGCGCAGTAAATACCGGTATCTGGTGCCGTAAAGTACAGCATTGGTTTTTCACGAGAGAGAGAGAAGCTCGTGAAGGGAGTGAAGAAGAAAGGGTTGTAAGTAAAGAAGAAGAAGAAGAAGAGGAGGAAGAAGACGACGAAGAGGAAGAAAAGAGGTATATATCGTAGCGAAGAAAGAGAAAGAAGGTTGGTGGAAAAAAGGGAGGCGGAAAGAGAGGGAGAAGAAGGAAAGGACCAGGGCAGCTCGCCACGTAATTTATGTCTCCAGCACACCGCGGTACGCCGCAACCGCGTTGACAGTTGAAACACGGCGGCGACTCGGATTGGTCGGCTCCGGGCACCTTATAGGGTGGCGCGCATGCGCACACCGCCTTACGACATCCATCAGAGGCGAGCGGCTACTGCCGTCAGCATGCCACTCTTTTATCTTTCTCCTTTCCTCTAGCCAGCCCTCTTGCCCTTTGCCGATGTCAACCGAGCCGTAATCCGCTGTCACTTTGGATACCGTCCCCGTCTTCGTCTTCGTCTTGGTCTTCGTGCCTGTTAGGTTGTTGTCCTATTTCGCCTATTCCGGTTGCCTGTGACGGACTAGGAGGTATCCTCGCGCGGCTACGTCTTCCGACGATGTCCTTTACAGTCTCTCCTCGTGGACTGCCGTGGAAAGTGTCTTCTCCTTGTTCGGTTCGAGCCTGTCGTCAGTTACTTTTACCGAGCTGCCTTTTTTCTTCACCTCGATCGTTCGGGATTACAGGTTTTCAGCGGATAGCCTATGGTGTCCGTTGACGCGACGTTTTTAGACGGCTTTTGTCTCTACTCGATCCTTTAATTGGATACTCCTTGATTACTTTCACCGCGTGATTCACTTTGGTCGTTGGTTTCTCGTGATCCGACTTTTTCATCTTCTCGTGGCTATGGGGCGAAGGTGCGAGGATTTTGTTCCAACAAATTAATCGCGTTCTTTACCCTGTTTTTTCCCCCTATAACGTGTCCATGGTTTGATCGAAGGAATTGACATACTGGCGCTTAGATATCATGATTACAACCAATGATAGTTGTGTTAACGAGTAGCCTGATACTCGGTTCTTAATATAAGGGTGTTCTGTGTGATTACAAGATCAGGAGAAGTACTTTCAGTTCTACGTTACATACATCATCCACTCATTTTAAAGTAAGTAGGTCCCAATCTAACTATTGTTCTCGTTTAGAGTTGGTCATTGAAAGTCAAGGTAATGAAAGTGTGATTAGGGTATCCGGCAGAGAAAAATTTCTGAAGCAGTCGATTGAATGTTTGTTCCAGCAGCCGGCCAGCTCGCAGGATCGTGGCAGCGGCTTGGCTGTGGGGCGTCAAGGGGGGCCCGGCAGCGCGGGGGGGCCCGGAGCAGTGGACCAGGCGAGGGACCTAAGTCCCTGCCTCCCCGCGTCTATGGGTGACGCTGCACGACCCACCACCTTACCGTGTAGTCCTCCTGCCGCCCACCATCACGGGCCCCATCATACGCCCCTGCACCAGACCCACTGTGGCACTAACAACAACTGCTACGACGGACCCACCACCCCCTACGACTCCAGGGACTACGATTCTCCTGGAGGTTGGTTGCTTTCCACTTTGCTAACAAGACACGCCATAAACCGGCTGGTCCAAACTTTCGAAACTTTCTCTATCTCTTCAAAAATAATTTCCTATAAACTCTTAATTGTTCCTTTCGATACTTTCGCCATTATCATCCCTTCACTATCCTTCAAACAGAAATTGTTCATCCAGTCATTCGATCAATCGTTTAAATGTCAACCAGGTGGACATGAGTACAGGAACAACAACAACAACAACAGCAATTTCGAGAACCCAAGCGACCTGAGCATGCCGCCGCAAACGACCCACCATCACCATCACCATCATCACCATCATCACTCCCACCTGCATCCGCAGACTCATTCGCAAGAACAACAAACCACGGAACACTTGCACGCCATTCCTAAACTGGAACCACCACCCACCCCTCCGGCACAGTCCGAGGATGTTCCTGGAGTGGTGTGCGCCGGATGTGGCCTCCGGATATCCGACAGGTTTTACCTGCAAGCTGTGGACAGGAGGTGGCATGCGGCGTGTCTTCAGTGCTCCCACTGTCGTCAGGGTTTAGACGGTGAAGTGACTTGCTTCAGCAGGGACGGAAATATTTACTGCAAGAAGGACTACTATCGGTGAGTGGATTGCAATATTTCTTACGCTGATTAACCATCGACCATTAGGGTTGTTATTTAAGCAACAAATTGTCAATTTGATTTTTCTTTAAAAAATTAGATATTGTGTTAATTTCAAGATTCAGAGGGTGGGATGTGAGGGGTTGTAGCGCTGTGACACCGTACACAGAGTGGTACAGTTTTGTTATAATCTTTATTCTGGGTAATATAGATACTAATTTTTTGTACACCAGGAAAATGTTTAATAATTGCATTTATATGAATCTTCATAACGCCAGCTGATAATGCTCCACGCTAAAGCAATTAAACAAAACCGCAAAGTAAAGTGTCTCTGGCGTTTATCGGCAATGCTTGCCGAGGATATCCGTGGTTTGTGGTTGAACTTTATATCGTTAACTCGGAATAACTATATCCGTACAGCCTTGATTTTCAATATCAAATTCTTCTCGCAACTTTATTAACGTCGTTTCAACGTTAACATAATTATTTCTCGAAAATTTCCTTTATCGAAGGACATTATTCTTCGCTTACCAAATGTTTTATCCTTGTTGCAACGTGTCGCAGAATCTGAATAACAATTCGAGTAACGGGGTCAACTGGTAACAAGTTGGTCCGAGAATAGTCTGGCTCGTCAGGACGACAAGTCAAGCGCGAAGCAGCAATTTCTGTAATTCCAGCGGCCATTCGGAGAGGCTTGCTCGTCGTCTGAAACCATTTCGTGCAACTATGTCGAGACCTCGAGCAGCCTGTTCGGCCACGACGATAAGAGTCCGTTTTATCGACGTTTCCACGCGATTGACAATAAATTAACTGCTGCATCGAGACTCGACAAACGAATCGCGCGTGGAATAACAAAAAATTATCGTTGACACAATGGCTTGACGCGTGGAAAACAATGCGATATGGGTTCATTTATGTAAGTCGTTCAGACTTTCCTCAAAAGATCACGTTGTATCAAATAAAATGATATCTGAAAAGTGGATAAACTGAACGGACTAAATGAATAATAAATAAAATTTGAAATCTCCAATGTTTGCCGATGAATCTCTTTTGTTCCTTTAACGAGGTATTATAAAATCGAGATGCCTAACCGGTCAACAATGTTAAACGCAACTATTATATCTTTCTTGGTGCATAATCAACATTCTCATCGATCATAACAAGGAGGAAAACGTTTACTGGAGCGATCATCATCCTCTGTCAGACCTTTCCCCAGATTTCTACATCACCGATTCCTCGATTAATCAACTTTCCCCGCGGTTATGGGCGATCAAGTAACCGTAATGAGTTATGCAACAATTTGATTCCAAGTTTTTAGTCTGCAAGCAGACGTATCATTTTTGGGATTCTCCCTTTTTTTTTACCAAATGCGAAGTTCAACCATAGATGCACGTGCATCGATGCATTTTCCGATGGTAGATTGAACATGATTTTTACCTTCCGTTAAGGAAACTCTAAGTTGACACCTCGGTTTACCTTTAGGCGAAACTTGAAGAATTCTCTCACGTCTCGTCCACGGCTAGTGATTTCCATTCCTAGAAACAATCGCGCCCTCCGCGCAGGCTCCGGTACGCGGAAATCACCTGTCTTGCCATATTTCGCGCCCGGTTTAGACTTTAATCCCAAACGAACAGGCAATAATTCCGCTGGCATCGCGTTCAACAGTCTACCAAGACGTAATCCTTTAGAATGAAAATAGCTGGCGAGCCAGTGCGCGCTTTCGAACGAAACTTCCGCGACGTGTTTACACTTCGTTGAGAAACAGGCTGAATTATGATGGAGAGCTCCCTGACGCAGGGAGTTCTCGGTACTTTCAGTTGAAATTTGCAAGGACTTAGCTACGGGCTCTTCAAGTTTTTCATTCTTGCAGCGAAACTTCCGAATTTTCTCTAATAGGTATTTCGATAAGAAGTAGCCGGAGAGTCGGCGACAAACGGACTTTAGATTATAGGTACCTTACCAGTTTTTATTGTCAGAGTATAATAAAAATTTGAAGGATGCCCGAGTATTAAGCTACCGTCGTTCATTCGTTATCGATTCAACGCTTTAAAAAGAAAGATGAGAAAAGCATACATTCGATCTGAACAACACTATCCAACTCGGTGATCGAGCGAATCCCATAAATCATCCAGCACCGACTCAGCACGGGAATGAAACTATCAAGCCTCCTCTAGTCATCGCGATCGCTCGTCCCTGCGATCGTCTGTAGCCGATCGGTGGAGCGAAATAATTTAAAGCTTCGCCAGGGAATATCTGGATGGTGGTCGGCAGAGGGACAGGGGAACATCGTGTTGGGCCATGGAAGGCCTCACACGGCGCGGATATTAGCGTACTCCCCCGCCGGTCGATTCGCACACACGGCTACTTGCTACGTACGGGACTGGCCAGTCCGTGGACTAATGGTCACGACTCGACCATTTACCTCCGGCGAAGCGTCGATTCTTGATAAGTAAATCACCGTCGATCTACATTTCACGAGCGACGGACGATATACACGTTGCAGAGAGCTACGGACGTCATTCGATGGTAGACCGGCGCGGCGTCATCCCCGGATGTTTCTCCCCCTGCACTTGCTTCTCTCTATTCTTCTTCTTCTTTTTCATTTTCCTACTCTTTAACCTCCGACCTCGCTTCTGTAGATCGTTCTCGTTTCAATTTCTCTGGTAGCTTAGATATTTAACTTGCCAGCCGACGATTTAACTCTTACGATTTCGGTAGCTGGATGGCAAACAGAGGCCTCTTTTGTTCTTTTTGCACTCTTTCTTTCTGGTCCGCGCGGTTTTCAACTCGCCCTCGGACGCGATGGTATGCCTCGAAAATCGCGTCAGCCGATCTCGTAGGCCACGCTCGAGATCCCTCGGGATAAGGGGCTGGTTTTATCGCGCGAACATGGACGCGCCAGTCAAGACACCCTCTCGACTGCGACAAGATTAGAATTCGCGACAGAGATTTCTACATGAAACTATGGAAAGTGGGATTGAAAGAACGTTAAAAGAAATTCTTTTTCTTAATTCTCTTAATACTGTTCAGGGTGTCGGAGAGAAACCATCGAACTAAGAAACCGTTTTGAATTACCCAAGAATGAAATTTGTGTCTCCCTACAAAGTGATCCGTGTTTTCTATTGTCGTTCAACCAGGAACTTTGTTCACGGCGGATAGTGTGTCGGCGTTACGCGATATCCAACTAGGAAAAGGAATAAATTTGTCGCTGGTGCGATGCGCTTACGCGATTCTCGTGATTTACTCGCCCGGTACCTGTAAATTAAACCTTGAAATTTGAGAGCCTAGATTTCCCGTTGATGCGATTGTGTAAGACGAGCCCCCCACAAGCTTTTGCGAGCGCTCGGTTCACGATGATTTCGTCGTTTCGTGCCCGAGATGCAAATGCCGCGCTCCACGATTACACGAAGCTCTTTTGAAACAGAGGCGGAAGGGTGGAATTTTCTCTTCTTCTATTTTCGCTCTTTGACGTCGGTGAAAAGCTCCAAGGGGATTCACCTGAGCCGCGAAGCTTTCAGAGCTATCGTTCAGCAAAAAGAGCATAGAACGCGAACTTCAACCCAGAACTAAGCGTCACGGCATTCCTCAAGATCGCAACCGCGACGTTTCGTCTGTTGGAAACTACGCGACGTGGCGCAGTGTCGAAGCAGAAGGCGTGGCGGAGCTCGTGTTCACACGTCGAGCAGCCCTTGCACGCGAGTCGCATGGTTCCCTTGTCGAACCGGTACCGGTCTCTGTACAGTCGTTCTCCTCGTCATACAAGAGTGACGGGCAAGACGGAATAACGCAGACATCCCGTCACGACACTGGTTCAGGCCCAGAAAACCCTTATCTCTTTGCTTCGCATGCGCGATCTCCTGTTGTTGCTGTTGTCGCCGCTGGTTATTAGACAGCCTGCGTTCGCGTGACACCCTTTCGTAACTCCCGCCACTCGTTCCGAAGGAATTATTTCCAGCAGCGACGAAGCTGGATGGAAAGTTTGCTTCTTCTAACGCCTGCACTTCGCCCGACTGATTCAACTGGACGACCCGTTCATGCGTCCAGTATCTCTTGTATCGAATTACCAAAGCGATCAATGCCTGTCCTGGGCAATTGATGATGATGGCTGGAGATGTCTGGTTGCGAAAAGGTGTGCTTTCGGTTAATACGTTAGCTGGCTCAGAGAAATTGGGAATATCCAGTGGTAATAGAGATGGTAATAGAGGCTGAGGGCTCTAGTAGAGTTATCGTAGATGCGATGGCTGAATTCCTTTGAATTATCATGATTTTAAATGGACATATGCAGATTCTCTCTGTAATCTCATTAAGCAACTACTGTCCTAATATTTACACTGTTCATTTTATCAACTCGTATACTCGCAGCATCCCACCTCCTCCTCGGATATACTTTCTCCCATCGTATCAGAATCGTAGCAGTTGAGAGCAGATCGAACGGAATCGGTCCCATCTACAGGGACACAGTCTCGCTTTCCCCGTTATCTTCCTTTATCAGCGTTCGTCCCTTGATGGCGGTCTCGGCAAAAGAAGAAACAAAGAAGGCTCCACTTATCTGTCCCCTCGGTGGATCTTGATATTTTGACATCGAACAGGATGTAATTAGCGAAAAGAGGATGGGGTAGGGGGAAGCAACGGCGACTTAAGTCGGCACAGGTGCTCCGGTATTCATTTGCAAACGCAGTGTCAACCAGGAGGAGAGGGTCCTAATGAGCCCACTTTCCAGGTAAATGGGAACGTATGCAACGTCGAAAATGGACGGTCACCTTGCGTGCTAGTTCGGCCCGGACCGGTGGCTCCGTTGTAAAAGTTGCTTGCGCGTAAAGAGATCGTTGCACGTAAGAGCTTCCTGGATTGTTCCGTTCCTTTTTTACTCCCAGTTGAAGGATCGCTGGTTGTTTCTAAGTCGGACGCGTTGTTCGGCCTTCCATTCGTTGTTAATATGAACGGTGTCGGCAATCGAAGCGTGTCCAGACCCCTGATCGCTGATAAATTGCTCTAATGCG